TCCACCACTTATCGGTATTCTTTAATCAGCATCATTCGTCATCTGTTCCTTGCATCAAGTTTATCCGCATATCGACGTTATAATTTAGAAGACTAAAATATATTCATGTACATGAGACAATGAGTTTCTGTAATTATCAATTTATAATGGATTTTTATAACTAGGTCACACCTCGTGATTTTTTATCAATTTCTGTGTTTTTCATGTAAAAACTTCTGGTGTCTCTACTAGTTATTTTTCATTTATCTAAGTGTATGTTGAATCTTCGTGCAATGCCTAGATTATAATCTATTACCGCTGCGAATGTTCTAGCACACATCAACTATATTGTAACATTCTCTTAAAATTAATTTTATTTTCAAAATCTCCATTGGTTTTGATTATAAATTGAAATAAATAAAATAAACTTAAAGTATTGGAATAAACAAACTCTAAAACAATGTAGGATACTAGCTAGAGAGCCATGTCTAAAGTCACTCAAAGAATTGAATGGTACTTTAATTAGAGGGGTCTCCAAACCCTAATATTGAGTATTGGCTTCCCCTTATCTTTCTCAAATAAATGTGTTGTTGGGTCAAAAGAGGTCCATTAATGTCTCTTGTCTCTTTTAGCTACCTTGTCCCAAAGTAAGGTCACTTTCATGGCTTGTACTATAAATGTGTGCTTTACTTTTTAACCTTTCCTTAGCTTCTAAACTTAGGCAACTTTATTTCTCACTAAATTCTTCATCATAAATCCTTTTAAAAAGAGTTCATATGATAATAATTACTTTTTATTTTTCAAGAATATTATAAGCAAGTTTCAATTTATTTTGCTTTTTAATTTCCCAATTCAAAAATAAATAAATAAAATGATATAAAATTATTCATATGATGAATTGGATAGTTATTTTTATAAATAATAATAAAGTAACAATAATTAAATAAATAAAATAAAAATATTTGACTACACAACAAAGAGTTGATTTTATTAAAAGAATGTTGTTTGAAAGAATTTATTTCTAAAAATAATTGTTACTTAATTTAAAAAAAAATAAATTAATAACAATACATTTGATGATTTAAAAAAATATATATTTTTCTCACATAAATTTTAATTAAATATAATATTTTTATTAAAACTAAATCATCAATTTATAAATGTTCAATTAAGTTGGAATTCAGAAGCGAAGCTATTTAATGGAAATTATGGCAGAAATATTATGTTTATATACATCATTTTAATAAAAGTAGGATTTATTATTATTGCTATTATTATTTGAAAATGATGAGAATCGAAGCTGAATGTTAAGTGCAAAAGAAAAGGAAATAAATATAACAATTGTATTTAAGTTGTATTTAGCTTCAGAAAAAAAAAAGGCTCAAAAACCGAAAATCATTTCAAATACTCGCTCGACTAAATTCGAGGCATACAAAATGGTGGTAAATTTAATTTAGTCAAAATCTTATGATTTTTTTTTTTTTCAATATGAGACGGAAAACACTTATTTTATAGATTACAGTTATAATTATTTATCTCACGTGCTGAAAAGGGTTACATAATTTTTATTGCCAAAAAATCAGTGCGCAGATGAATTTGTTGCAAGGAATGTGAGGTCGCTAATGGGGATCGATGGTGGTCGGCAAGTGGTGGCAGCGATTGTTGGCGGTGATTGACGAGTGTATGAGTGATGCTGAACTTCAACTCTTTCTCCAAGCTTCAGTCTTCTTTAGGCTTCAAGCTCCCGTTTTTCAAGAGAGGAGTGGGACTCTATTTATAGAATTTTTGTTGTAATTAATGAATAATTATGAATCGGACGATTCGGAGAGATTCATTTGATCAGACGATATTTGGTTGACATTTGAGAGTCTTGATGTGTCGGAATTGAGCTATCTTATGCTTGTTGGATTCTTTTTGCTAAGACGCTTAATTCGATTAAATGCTCACAGGATTCAACATTATTTTGATCTTTTAAATGTTTCTGAAAAGCTTCCAAATTTGGCTAAATAGCTTGCTCTAAGCTTGATTTGACTTGATCGATTTTGATGATTTTGGGTCCGTCTCTAAGAGCCAATTAGATTGACTAGAAGTTTTCTGAAACCGGAGCTTTGGATGAGTTTCAATTAAATTTTGAATATTTTTTGCTCAAAAAATTAACATGAGATCCGTATCATACATAGAGATTCATGTCGGATGATGAAAATTTATTGGTGGTCTATGACAAGATCAATTCCGTCGTCCAAAAATATTAAAATCCTGAGAACTATAACTTTTTTTTGTTATAGATATGTGTAATATTATATGTTACTATTTAATAAGAATATATATAAAATATTACTGCATATTTATAGAGAAGCAGTTATAACTAAGTTGATCAGTCATCTTTATGTGCGGGAAAGAAGAAATATTTACGTATGGAGAACACATGCAATTCTCCGTGTGTAATCATCTCCCAATAATTTTTCAATGACATCTGCGAAGGTTATTGGAAGGTTATTGCGGAGTTATTTCGGCGTTATTTGGAGTCAATACCTTCCACGGTTACATGTTCACATTCCGCGGTTACATTTTCACATTTTCTCTGGTATTAGGGTATTGAGTTCAAATAACTCCGCAATAACCCCCTAATAACCTTCGCAGAGGTTATTGAGAAGTTATTGGGAGGGGATTACGCACAGAGAGATGCGTGTGTTCTCTGTAGGTAAATATTTCTGGTGGGAAAGGGCTTGTCGCAGGGAATTTGGAGAGGGAGAAACAGAATAAAAAAATATTAATGGCTGAAATTAATTTTTTGTCATAAATGCATACGAATTTGAAGTCTATGAACAAGCAAGAAGAAAATGGTGGACGTGGACTCTCCATTCCTACCCATCAGGTGATTTGGAATTTTCTTGAAGAAGAAAGTCGTTTTTAACCTGCGTAGCAAGTGATGAAAGGGACCTTGTTTGGTGTCGATGTAGAAGAAAGTCCTCCCCGCCTTACATAGAGGATGATCTACGAAATCTTCCTTCGCATGGCTAAGTGAAGAAAGTTGTCACTGTTTCTGCCCAACAGGTGATTCAGGATCTTCTTTTTCGTTGTTGTCATGAAGAAAATTGTCCTCGTGCCTGACCATAAGAACTTCTTTCTTGTTGTTATCGCACATTCCAATGGCGATTCTCGTGTGGCTGTCACACATTCTAGAGAATATGAAGAAAAGCTGAAGTTTTCCCGACAAGCTTTTTAGGGGAGATTTTCATTTTCTATGGTGGACATATTTGGAGAATCTCATCCCCAAATGTTTATTAGTCTTTATAGTTTTTTAATGTGATATTTGTAGATGATGATAATCTATTTTTTGTACATCTTTTACGTTGCTTTTGAGTTTATTTTTGTCTTTCCTTCTAAGTTGTGGTTACTCAATTTCTAGGATGATGTCGCCCTACTTATGGGTCGTTGTTGTCCTACTTCAAGGGTGCATATTGGTGTCGACCACTAGACTTCTGTCTTCTAAGTTTCTTTGGCTTCTCCAACATGCATAAGTCTGTAATCAAAGTTAGCACGTGAAATTTAAATTAAAAAAAAAATTAATTAGCTTTTGAAGATCGTGCCTTTTGTGACGTGTGGCTAGCGATAACAGTGGAGGCGGACGACTGAGTACCACTGAGTGGCAGATATTCATTTTTGTAATTACAATTTTCTCAGTAATTTTTAAAAAATGAAAACTTAATTTTATTTGCGCCTACCATTCTTTAATTTGTTGCAATTTCACTATTAATATGGGCGCAAATAAAATTTTATCACATCCACTTAATTATTATAGGAGACATTCTTACTCGAGATAAAAAAACAATTAAAATTGCAGCTCAAATCTAAAATATCATTATCCTGTAAATATAATTTAATTCACTTTATCATCGTATTTATGTAATCCCTTATAATTATTTTATTGTTATTATATAAAAATAATTACAATTAAGGAGATGTTTAAGACAATATAATAAGTATACATTATGAATTTTATTTAAAATGATATAATATAAATTATAATTTTTTTTCTAAATATTAACACAATTCATTAAGTTTAAACTTTTATGCTTAATTAGTCTATATGAACTTCCTTCTTTTTATTTAAAATAAACTTGGATTTTTTTTATATAAATATTAATTAAAAAAATTAGTTATTATACAAAATCAAAACATCTTGCGTAATAAGTGAGCCACAATTTAAATTACTTACAACTAGGGCTGTCAAAAAAGCTCGTTGTTAAATAAACGAATAAAGAAAGAACAAAAGGTCCAAGCTAACATGTCACATGCACAGTTGCACTTTTTCTTTTGTTGGTGAACAAATATATAGTTTTATCATAATTTCTAAAATCATTATCATTCCACATTTCATCGAAAAACTATTCATATAATTAAATATAAACCACATGGCAATGCCTAATTAACTAGTCGTTAAGTAATTAAGTATATTAGTGTCCATTCTATACACATAAGAAGTTAATTACACGCATATTATTTGCCTCCATAACAAGTTGGGAGAAGCTTGATCCATACTCAACAATTACACATGTACATAACTAATACTACAAGCAATATCTATTGATAAGCTCGAATTCATTTTTCTATCAACTCATTGATCATCAATCCAATTATATATATATATATATATATATAATTGAAGCAATTAAAAAAATATTATAAAATAATTCACATAATAACATGCTCTTACTTGATTTAATATGAACATAAGAGTAGAAAGTAGAAACATATAAGTATGGATTATGTGTTAACAATGTTTTCTTAATTGATTAAGCTCTAATGAAGACAAAATTAAACAAGAAGCTCGAAGTACATTTTTACTCCATACATAATGAACAAATAACCAAACTAGAAAAATAAAAATTTTATAAAAAATGTAAAGCTTTTATACATAGGATTAGAGAAGATATTAGTTTTATATCTTATTAATTTGTTATAAATTAAACTAATTTTATTTTATTATTATATTTTACATCAAAAATATCATGCTGTTTCTTCATGAACACAAAAAAAAAAAAATTTATGATTTAGAGAGAGAGAGTAGAGAGAGACTCTCTATCTGTTCTCATAATCCGCACGTATCCGTATGAGTGGATTACACGTACGTGATATTTTTTCCTGAGTGGGGGGGATTAGCACAGTACGTCCTTGAGAAGCTTATACCGCCGACCGGACTGTTTGGCGGAGGAGGAGGAGGAGGAGGAGGTCGACGGCGGACCGACACCGGAGCTCCGTCCTCTGCCTGTGCTCCCGCTACCGTCAACACGATCGCCACCCTGCTTGCCTGCTTTATTACCTGCGGCGGCCAGCCGCCCCGGCCGTCGGCCCTGTGCTCCTCGCTTCTGCACCAGTCGCAAAGGCCGGCGGTTTGCTCGGTAGATGATTCCTCACGGTAATAGTTACTGCAGTAACTATATTTTTTTCTTTTTTAAATCACAATTATATATAGCTAGAAGTAGAAAGATGAATTAAATATAAGTTTTATACCATATCTGTAACCTGAGATGCTTTTCATGATTAAGAAACATCAATATGTGTGTGCGTGAAAAATGTAAATCATGTTTGGATTATGTGTGATGTTGAAATACATATGATAATATCATATTTGATAAGATAAATTAAGATATATTTGGTGAAAAGGAGAGAGAAAGAGGACATACGAGTGTTGGAAGCGATAGAGGCAACGAAGGCACTGGAAGAGCTTGTCGGAGAAGCCGATGTCACCGCACATACAGCACACGTGTCTAACATCCGCCATGCTTAACATTACCAGTAACAGATATATATATATATATATA